GTATCCAGTATTTTAAAGGAAAGCAGAGGATATCACGCAGTCAAGTCAGCACTCAGGGCAAAGCTACCTGATTCAATTTCTCCTCACTTAGACAATCAGTGAATTCAGGTCTTCAGTGGAACCAAAGAACAATTTCTATTTTGATATGCCCTCTATTGGGACAACACTCTTGCAAGAGGATTCTTAATTAGATCTTTACTCAATTACTATAATCTGCCCAATGTAGAAGCAGCAACTGGGATTTTAAGGCTGCTGCAATATTTAAAAAATTAGACTAGTCAGTCCAGTAAATATTCATGTATTAATATTTCATTATTATTTTGAGAGACACCAACTACAACACCAGCAAAGGTTCAGAAGCCAAATGAAAGCTAAATGTTATCTTAAATGAAAAAAAAAAATTGTATTTGTATGCAAAAACCTACAGGGAACCCTTTCCAATCAAGTGGTGATTGTACAGAGCTCCTCCTCACATGCTCCCCAGAAGCAGGCACACAGCAGGGCTGCCCCATGAAACCCAGCCTGTCCTGGGCACTCCTGCCAGGAAGGCAGCAGTGACAATCAGTGAGAATGGACAGATGAGTTCAAAAGATCCAAAGTACCTGAAGACTTGCTAAAAGGAAAAAAATCTATCTCATGTAAGAAAAATCAGTTTGAAATTACAAACCTTGGTATATACAGCTACATAGAAAATACTGAGCAAATCACAAACCAGGCTGATACATGGGGAACATGTTTTAAAATTACAAAACCTGAACAGTTCAAATGTTAACAATACAGCTGAAATTTGTAAGTTTTAAACAAATTGATCTGCATGTTAAAAATAATTAAAATATATGCTGAGTATATGACATTTCTCTTATACACACAAGGGAACAAATGTATTTCTTGTTTTACTCAAACAAGGCAATGAATTGAAAAAAGAACTCTTATTCTTGTCAGGATACTCATAAAAATGTTGACAACTATTTGCTACCAGCACTGAAAGATCTGTAATTGAAGATACACAGCATGGGGACTAATATATATGAAAATTAATACATGGACTCTTGCCAGCATTATTATTTTCCTTCAGTAAATATCTAACTTGATTCAAAGCAACATTTATAAAAGAAATTACTCTCATCCCTGCTTTATTTTAGTTCAAACTTTAGTTCAAACTAAATTCAAATGTTAAACTAATATGCTGAAAATGAGGTTACCAAGCTGAAAGGCAAATACGCACTCTTCTTTGTAATTGCAAAAAGGTTACTTGTCCAAAGCAGTATTCTTTCCTCTTTTCAGCTATTTTTCAACTAATTGGTTTTCTGTTATTAAACGTAGGTTTCTTCAAGCATTAAAGCTAGTTTTTAATGTTACACACATAATTTGTTGAAATGCCACAAACATGAACTTTTAAGATAAATTATCTCAACTGAAGGAAAACAAATGAAAGGCAAAAATACATTACAAATGTAATTATCAAGATTTATATTATTATTAATAATAATGAGTTACAATTGTTAAATATTTCCAAATTCCACTGCTACTTGATGAAGATATATAATCTTTGATTTTCCAACTTTTTAAAATACTCATTCAGCTGAAATTCTGCTTTCTTTTTGCATTTTCCCAATGTCAAACTCTGCAACTTTGCATTTGAATCTGACCTCCTTGAGTTCTACTGCAGTAAACAGGGGAAATATGCATGAAAATTAAAACTTCTCTGTATTTTATTCTACATTACTGTCTTCTAGTTAAGTTCCCTCCTCTGAGCTCCAATATTTTGCACAGCAAAGCATTGGACACTATTGTGTCAGTCTGCAGGAGGGATTCCAGGCCATTCTGCAGAATATGGTGTCCTCTTCTGGTCCTGGAGGTTCCTAAATCTGGGGAATGTAACTGAACATGAAATTCAGTGCTGGTTTCAATTACAGCAAGACCTTTGGATGCCTCTGACATCTACAAGAAGCAAATGACCTTCATTAACCCCACAGTACAGAGGGCACTGAAGGGATGCAGTGAATAAACTCATTCAGGATATGAAAGGATACCTCAAGGCTATGAAAGCATCAATGCCATTTTCCAAAAGCTGTAAAATGATCATTTTTAGCCATTTACACATGGAGGACTGGTTTTTACCAATATGTTATTTGGGCATCTAATAACACTGAGAAGTTGCAATGGATATGAAAACCATAGACTGATGTAAGAGATACTTTTGTTAGCAGAATTCAGCTGCTGAACCTCTTCTTTAGGCATTGATTTAAGATTGTATTGATTAATCTAGAAATGGAAAGACAGCTCTAATTCTATCAAAACCAGCAAAAGTAATAGCATGAGAAAAAATATCTACTGAAATCCAACTGCATATTTAAAGGTAAATGGGCTGTGGTAGCCACTACATTTAAAAAGCAGCATTGAAAAAAGTAGTATTGGCAATATCTCTTCTAATGTTCATTACCAAACACTTCCATGTGTAACATCCTGCACAAATCCTCATCCTAAACTGAAAGATCTGCAGAATTCCAAGACAGACATTCCTGTTGTCATCTTATTGCACTGGTTCCATTCTGTTGTCTCCTTATCACAAAAGTTCCATACCTTTTTGGTTTTTCTCATGGACAGCTCCTCAGAGCACTGACTCTTTCTTCTCAAGGCAGACACTGACTCCAGTTCCCTTCTCACCCACCCACCTCACTCTTTTCTAGCACTCTGCTTCTCATTGCTTACAGCTGTGGCCTGTTAAAGTCAGGCCTGTTCCTGATCTTTGATAATGGGCACAGCTGCAACTCCTTAGGTGTGAGATTACTTTCCACACTCTCTTTATTTTCTTATATTCTATCCCTCTACACATTCCCACATTAATTTTATACTAAATTTTTAAACCTTCATTTTAAACCTTCAACTGGCCATGGAAAACAGGGCCATCTCAGTGCCTTTAACCCATCTCAGTCAGTCAGCACAGTTATGTTCCAAATGGTACAATTTCCAAAGGGGAACACATTCTGTGACACATAGAAAATAGCAGCACTAAAAGGACAAAAATCTACCTGCACAATGTGCTGTACAAAACAACTCTAGTGTGACAGACTGAGCCTTGCACTGAGCCTTGTCAGCTGAGGTGACAATGTCACCCTGTGACTTGCCAGGTCACAACCACAGCAGTGCCCCACATCTCATCACAGGAGACTTCCAGGAGTGCAAGGGATGGCACCCACTTCTCACTGTAAAGAAAAACCCTTTCTCTGAGATCTGATAAGTGGTTGTGGGTTTATGCAAGATTAAGGTAGAATTTTGGCTCAAAGCTAACGCACCGTAAGAATAAGCAATGCAAATTTTTTAATGAGTTGCTCAACTGATAATTTTGTATGCATCAACTGTGCAACTGAAGTTGTAACTCAATTAGTATTTAAAGTAATTAAAGATGAAAGAGTATCCAAAAAAGCTTAAAAGGCATCTTTTGTAATTTAGTGAAGTGGCTGATACTCCGTCACTTCAAAAAAAGGAGAATTAGTTATGTAGCAAAGAAGAAAATGCCTGGTTTCCATTACAAACCCTTCCACTAAAAATTAAATGAAAAATGCATGATCTTCTAATAGATGGAAAAAAAAGCAGGAAAGCTCTTAGAAGTACGTCCATTTCCTCAGTCAGCAGGCAATGAACCACTTTAACTGGACCTTATGCCAAGCAAACAGACACATGGATTTTATTGATACATTTCCTATATATCTGTATCACCACCACCAGATTATGTGCATCACTGCCATTTCACATGTGCCAAACTTACCTACTCATTTTTGCAAAATACCTGGGAAATCATTGGAAGTCAAAGTTACTATCTTTAAACATTCATAATCCATATTCACTGACATCTGAATGTCAGTAAGGAATTTCTAACTTTTTTCTATTTCTTTTTTAAAATTCATATTACTTCATAAAAATTAGCAAAGATTGTTTTTCTAACACAGACAAAGGACAATTGTGGCATTTTAATAATATATCTATTACTGTGATCATAAACGAAACACAGTGTCATGAAGATCTGAGTTTTGCAGTCATTATGTCAGCTGCCTTTTGATGGCTACATGGATCACTATGGTTGGAGTTCCTAAAATATTTTATATAAGAACTCAGTGATACAAAGGCAGAAAAAAAGTAAAAAGAGAAAGTCCTATGTAGAAGCTAAAAAATTTGCTTAACCTTAAAAACTCTAATTTAAGAACCCAGCAGTTTAGTAAAGATGTTTCAGTCATAAACACAATTTAAATCTCCAATATATTGGAGATTTTACTTGTGATAGATAAATAAAACTTTTAGATACTTCCTACATTGCAAAGGAAAATTACTTCAATTACTTCTCAATCCTTACTGAACTTACAGTGTACATTGCAAAGTGTATTTATGCTCTTGATCAGTTGGAAGTTTTGATGATTAGAAACTGTAATTACATGGCACTACATATTTACTACATACATACTACAATATTTACTGTTTCATTTCAAAATCCCTATATGACAGAAGAACACAAATTCCCATTTTAAAATGGCACGGCTAAGACACAAAGACACAGATTACAGGAATTAAGTACCTATATGTCTTTAAAAAGCTGGTTTAAAGAACTTAAAAGTGTTGGTGAAGAGTGCAGGAATTCAAGGAATTTAGATTGATATTTTTTGAAATTTAGAGAAAGATTTGATTAATTACTCACTAGTGTTAATTGCTGGCATTTTTCTGGAGAGAAATGGAGAAGAGACTTCATTTTACATACAAGGCTGTCTAGCAGAGTTTTTGAGGGTTTGTGCATTTGTGTACTACACCAATATTTCATTCAGTAAAACTTCTCAGTAAGTGGAAATACCAGTGTATTAACGACATCAGTGAATCTCCAGCTGGCAGGGGGAAAGTCTATAAAAATAGCAGCTACTAGCAGGTATGAAAATATTCAAGTCACCTCATTTTTTGTGTATGGATAAGAGAGGTTTTCCCCCGACTTCTACTGATCCTGTGAGTTCAAGTACCTTGTTTCCAATAGCCTTTTTTGGTGGGAAGTTAAAAGTCCTCACTTGCTGGTACTTATTCTGTAATTTCTGATGCAAGCTTCTGAACTCTGCGTATCTTCGATAGACATTCCACTCATCATCCTTTATCCTGATATAAACCTGCAAAACACAGACAGGGAAGGGAATCATGTAAAGACAAGCAGGGCTGGTGTGTGTCCTTCACTCCCCAAGGCCTCCTGGATCAGCACCTTCACGTGAGACACCACAAGCTCCAGGACCCCACGGCCCCAGATCCACAGCTGACTGCATTTGCTGTTGCTGTCGTACACATCACTAACCTCATTCTATCCCTTCTCCCTTTTCCTCCTCTTTCTCTCTCTTTCTCCTATTTTAATCAAGACAAACACAGCTTGCTCATTTTAACATGACTCTGGGGCAACCATGGCAGCACTTCTTGTTACCATGGTTTCCAGCATATTCTACTACACAGTGACCAAAGGGAAAAAATAATTTAATACCACTATGAAATTGATTTCTATGTCCTCAACACAGTTTTTCAACTTTGTAAATTAGCTTTGTAGCATCAGAATTGCAAAACCTAATTTTATCCAAAGTATGAAACTTAATTTACTTCCTAACAAAATTACATTGAAAACTAAACTAGAAATTTTATTGTTTGGAAAATAAACACAGTTCATTCTTTCAGCTTGTATAGGACATTAAGTATAATTTAACACAGCTGTAGTTTTTGTGATTCTGTTTTTGTTTGCTGCTCATTATTTCATGAGCTTATTACCAATTACATGCTAAATATTCGCTTTCTCTAGGAAAATGTCATGCAGAAGTGAAATATACTTACAGAAAACTGAGATTTCACTCTTTCCTAGGGAATGGCACAGTTTAAAAGAATGCTGAAACAGCACAATTCAGAAACTCTAAACCAAGCAGCAGAACTTAAGATCCAGAGTGACCTTTCCCTCTGCTCCTTCAATGCAATCCGTAGTTTATTCATTCATGCATGTGTGTGTATGTTAATAATCTCAGTATTTTACAACAGGAATTAAACGGGAACAGTACTGATGACACTGCCTTGCAGCTCCAAAATCCCCCAGTAATTTAGTAGTAAATTGTAAGGCAAATATCAGGAGAACACTTATGTAAAAAAGCAACACCAACCACGGTCACACAGAGTGGACAGTAACAACTGTATTTTTGTGGAAACTAGATAAAAATAAAATTTGGATTTTGATGTGGCCAATTTCAACACTGAATTGCAGCTTTTCCTGGTGATTGAGGTATGGTCCTTCTCTCTGAGATGTTGCAAGTCCTCCAGAGAAAAAATTCAATTTTTCTAAGGACTGGAAGTATTTCAGAGATTAAGTGACTGTGTTCTCCCACAAACACTGCCCATGCTTTGGTCTTTCTGAAGCTCTCTCTTCAGACACCTAGTTTCTCAAATTTATAGGAGGCTTCTTTGCAACACTGCAAATACACCGTATTATGCAGATACCATGCAAATTTTGTCAAATTAGAATATTTCAGTGTAGAAAACACTAATACATTTACTACAGGAAGACTATCATTCCAAAAAAGGAATGCTATAATTCCAAAATTAGCACATATAAATTGAAAAGATCCAGAGTATTGTGAATTACAAATGCATATGTAAACAAAAATTCAACTAGTTTTGGTAACAAGAATCCAGATACTGTAATGAGAGAATGACAATAGTAAGTCTGCAAGAACTATTCAGAATTCTTTTTCACTTTGAAAACAAAGCCAGAATAATTAAACACCTACAGGACTATCTGTTTTAACAATTGAGTACATCTTTGAAGGCAAATAAAGGAATACATGAAATGCAAGTATTTTACATAATTCTAATCAAATCTATTTAATGTAGTAAAAATTATATTACAATCTTCATTCACCCAGCTCTAAGGCCTCTCCCTGCCTATTCTCACTTCAACCTGTATGTTATTTGTAATTCTGTATACATTCCCAAGATTCATGTCTCAATCTCCCTGTTGGGGGCAGGAATGACAAAAAAAAGTTTAAATTATTTTAAACTTAGTTATTTAATATGGAAATCCTAATTTAACTAAGCACTTATCTTTGCACATGTGATTTGATGAATCATGCAGTTTAACATTACCTGCTAAGCTGTAACCCACAGTTAACTAACTAAGGAATCTGTACACTGTAATTGAAATTTTTCAGGACTGCAAAAACATAGATTGATTTCTTAGGTAAAACTATTGGAAAATTTCTTACTGCTCTTCTATGTACATAGATATTGATTTCATTTAAACAGCAAGAAACTAAAATGCAACATTTGGAGCCCCGTGCCATATTGAATTTATTGACAATCAACTAATAGACTGTGAAAGGTATATTAAAGCTCATGATGCAGCACACATTTAAACTTTTAGTATTCTAATAATATTCTCAGAGGGGAATACTATTCCCAAGCCATGGGATTGCTACACTCTTAATGCACATTCACTTGGGAAATCAAACTAAGTAAACACTAAATGTAGAATTATTTGGATAAACTTATCCTAGTCTAGTCACTGAAGGCATATAGTGATCCTAGGGCCATGTTCTAGAAAGTTGAAATGACTACTTTCAAGCTTATTCTCAGATCAATTTAAAAGTTTAATATTAAATAATTTTATTTCCTTTCTGATTCCCCTGTTTTCCTGATATCATCCAATTCCTAACCTACTTAAATAATTTTCCGAGTAATGAAAATGTACAGACTAAATCAAAATCACTGCTAGAATATCTACTTGTAGACAAAGGATTCCACTTTAATACCATCTTGAATATAAAAAATTAAGTAGTTTCTGTTTGTTAGTTAAGAGCACTTTCTGCTTGGGTCTCCTGCGCAAAGATTGATTGATAACCTTTCTGTAGCTATGAGCTAGGGCAGCTCTAAGAAAAATTTCAGTTAATAAGTATGTTTAATGAATTAGTCTGTTATTTTCTCATCACAAACATGTCTGAAGTCAGAGATTGGAGAGCAATAGCAATAACAGGTGTAATTTAATAGTGTTTGTCAGTCTACTACCTGCTCACATAATATTACTGAAATGCCAAACATCTTCAGAGAATCAATGTAAAAGCACAAGTTCAATGACTGCATCCTTAAATGAAAAATCCTGCTCCCATGGTACTGGAGTTTGAGCCAGAAGTTTCTTAACAGGTTAAACATCTTTAAGCAGTTCTGAGTCCAAAATGCTGTTAGCAAGTCCTGGTAACAGCCTGGTACCAACTGACACAGCTCATCACCTCTTACATATAAAAGCCTGAGGAAAATAAAGGACAAAAGCCAAAATTCTAACTTGCTCCAGCTCCAGTGTACACAGACCAAATGCTGTAATCAACACTCATCCTTCTGATCTGCAGAAGTCCCATGTGGGTGCTTCTCTTTTCTGATGCAAAATATTGTTTGGTATGTTGAGGATTCACTTTTTTCTCTCTCCAGTACAGCTGGCAGCAAGAGATACTGACTGAGATATTACAGACCCTTCTCCTGTTGCAATGACATCCATGATGTAGAATTCCAGATTAAACATCAGGCAGAATATTCCCTACACACAGTTACTCCTGAATCTTGCCTGCAAATGTGGCTCCCATTTCCTGGCAGGATGGACTGAATACATAATGAAAAATTAATTCTAAGACAGAGAACTCTATTGATGGGAGCTCCACAAATACAAAAGTGCTGAAGTCAAAGTCCTTGTGAGTCCTAGTCCCATTCCAAAGGGAATGGAATAATATTAAAGGAAGGTGAGCAGTGAAAACTCTACTAAACCACATATAAAAATGGCACAAGATACAAGAGAACTCAGGACATTTCAGCAGCAGAACACTTCAAAGGACACAGAGAATACTGAGAATGTCTGTAAAGAATCAATCCTAGGCTCGATAAGGTCAAAGTTTTGAGCATGGAAAAAAATGATGGAGAGCAAAAGGACTGCAAAAAGAAGCTACACTAAGGAAGCTCCTGTGACATTTACCAGCTAAGTAAGCATTAAAAGAAGGCGGGGAAAAAAGGATGATAGAAAAACTATTACTTCTGTATTACTGTAATTCTACTGTATTGATGTATTTCTATCTTCCTTCCCTCACAAAATCCTCTTGTTTGTTACATACTTTCAAATCAATGCCCAAGCATGTGGAAAGAAGGAAAATTAGCAACTGGTTTGGTAGGGACAACCCAATCAGCATGAACACAAAACCAGAACATGCTAATTGGCACCATTATTTTTTGATGTTAACTCAGGTAATCTTGACTGGTGAATGTTTCCCTTACATTTGCTTTTAAATAACACTACAAATCTTGGAGTAGCATTAGTCCATAGTTGTACACTTTGAATAATAAAGTTGTTTTTAATTCTTAAAACTCTGGTTCAACTTCAATGCACATCTCAATTATTCAGGAGCATGAAGAGAGATTTTGATCAAAGTTTACCATTTAATAAATAATTGTTGTCAGGGGATTGAACTTATCTTTTTTCCTGTTAGAAAAGCACACTATGAAATGGGAGTAATGTATTTCAATCTACTTAAGTTTTATCGAAATTATGTATTTCTGCACTCAAAGCATATAGAAGTAAAAAGTATTCATGAAAAAAAGTAAGAACTAGTTTCATTTTACTTCACTTCAGGACAATGGGATTCTGTTAAGAATACAAATTCAAGCTCAATTCTCCAAAGTTACCTCTGAAGTGTGAGAAATGAATACAAATGCAAGTTATATTTTGAGACAGCTGCAGGCCTGCATTTATGGTTAAGTTCCCCCTCTGAAAATGATCCAATTTAAGAATTTTCTGCATAATGAAAAACAAATGGAACAATGAAACTTTTCAGCTGTGATAGGAGCAGCTTTTTGTGTGCCATAGAGACATAACAGGAATTAGAGTGAATAAGCTTTTATTTCAGTATGTGCAAGTGGATAAAATGGTCAAAGACTACAAATACTTCAATATAATTTATGTTAAATCTTCAACTTTCTGTTATTCAGGTCATAATAATGAACAATATAGTGTCAAATATATGACACATCAATATCAAAGCACGGACCTTAAAAACAGCCAATATTGTTCCACTAAAGAGAAAAATGTCACGCATTTTAGGCTTATGCACTCAAT